AATCATCCCCTGGGGGAGGGGAGATGGCCATGCTGCAATCCCTTCTTCTACATACTCCTCCTGGGATTTTGGGCACGCATGCACACGTGCCCAGAGTGATTTTCAAGCTGCCAGGTCCAGGGCTTGAACCACAGTTGGCCATGTGGGAATCCAGCATCTTAGCCACCATGCCATCTGCTGGCCCCGTGATTTATTATTAAAGTGAATTAAATGAGTACAAAACATCGACTTTACTTTTTGCATGTAACGTGATACCACCCCACAAATGGTCTAAGAAAACATATCCATCCATGTCCTCTAGCAATCTTCAAGAAAAGAAGAGAGAAAGATACTGTTATTCTGGTCTATGGAACAAAAGGGCTAATAGGAGTCAGCACCTCATGTTGGGAATTGCTAAAACATTTTGTGATTCCAAGAACTAAACACGAACTGACACACTGTGCCCACTGGTTATGATTAAGCAGAAAGAAAGGTGGAGCACAAAATATGAACACAGGCAGGTGTTTGTGAATAGTCTGCAGCAAAACATTCAAATTTTTGGATCTGTTGTTCCAACAAAGGCAGCGTCAATGGTTGACTTCATCAGTAAACATGACTGACTAGAAATTAACAAGTTAGAAGGTATCTTGTGAATCACAGGTCTAGGCCGAGGTTTTCAACCAGAAGCCTCTGTCCTTCGAGAGACAGGGTACTTACATTTACGGCCAGTGCTCACACTGGACTCCAGTTTCTTGAGCTTCATTACCACCTCCTCTTTGCCAGCTTTAGGCTCTAACATATATCTAAGCAACATGCATGTGTACTGAGTGGCTCTGAAATGGAAGAAAAAAATGAGGAGAATGATTTACAAACCAAATAAAACTTGATTCATGAAGGGAAGGAGAAACAGATCTTGCTAAAAACAAAGTTGCTAAGATAATGTCTCATGTAGCAATTTTACTCTTACAGGAGCAAAATTTTGCAAGAGTCATTTAGCAGGAAGGCCAAAGAGTAGAACATTTAATGGAAATGCAACACAAAGGTAATGAAAGAGAACTCTGTTAATAATGCAGTGAACAGCCCTCAAGAGGCCTTTTGCTGGCAAAAAGAAATGGATGTAGTCAAAATGGAAAACTGTACAAAATTAGACCTCATGTTAAGCATGCAAACATTCATACTCTACTTTTCCCAGTGTAGAAAGAACTTTTCTACCAGTTAACCTACCACTTCTGTAACAGGACACAAACACAACCAGAATCAAATGAAAAGTCCGCAGTTTGAACAAATTATTAGTTTATAATTTTTTATAAACTAAAGGACCAAATACATACCAGTACACAAATTAACATAGACTTGTTTTTGTACTTGTCTTTCAAAAAGAATTACAAGTTTATATAAAATACAGGCAGGATTCTGTTTACTAATACTATATTTCAATAAAGTGATTATTGCCATGCCTATAAATAATAACTTACTGATAAATACAATAAATGAAAAGTTAGATCACACAAACATCCAAATGCATTTGACAGCCTTATTTAATCAAGTAGGTGCCTGGTTTCTACTTGTCTGATAAATGCATTTGACTTCCTTTATGCTGTAAATATTATTCTCAATAAATATGGCATATTTCCAAAAAAACAAACTTGTAATTGGGGATATAGTAAACGGAGAAGATAGGAATCATAAACAATGTGTCTTTATCAAAACGTGCTTCCAGGCTGGAGGATTCAAGAGGGTCATGATTTGGTCCAATGAAATAGGAGTGGGTCCAAAAACAAGGCATGAATTTATGATCACCAGTTGTTCACAGAGGTTATAAAGTTCATAAAGGGGACTGGGAAATTAATGCTAGAAATCTCACATCTTGTTAAATAAGTCTATCCCAATGATTATTTAATTAACTAACCTGCTTGATAAACCCTGCAGGGTATAACCTGGGTACACTGTGATTATAGTTTCCTTTTCCTCCCCCCCTTCCTTCCTTCCTTCTTTCTTCCCCCCTTCTACTTTCCCTCCCCTTCCCTTCTCTTCCCCTTTCCCCCACTCTGTTATTTTCTTTCTTAATTTGCTACAGGGTGCATGTGCTCCCAGAATAAAGTGCTCACCATGGGATGTGGTCATACTAAATTCTTTTTCCTCCATTTCTCTCTTCTTTTGGGATTCTGGGCATGTGCCTGGAGTGTTTCTCAAGTTGCCTGGTTTGGGATGTGTGGTCAGTCATGAGTGATTCAGCCACCTTAACCACAAGGGCATAGGCTGACCCCAGTTTTCTATTTTAATGAAGCTTATAGATACTGATTTTAAAACACAACCTTTTGTGGTTTTTTTTGGAGAGATTTTTTTGCTATAGAGCACATGAGCTCGCTAGGAAGACAGAGGGAGACAGAGAGACAGAAAGTGAGAAATCACCACCAGGAGTGAAGGCCACACTGCAATCCCATCTCCTCCATTCTCCTCTTGGGATCTTGGGCACTCATGCACATGCACCGGGCATAAGTTTAAGCTGCTGAGTCCAGGACTCGAACAGCAGTCAACTACACTGGAGTCCAGCAACACAGTCATTATGCCAACTGCTTGTCCCAAAACACAACCGTTTTAAAAAATATATCAAATTAATTAGAAAAGCAGCTTGGCTTGGTAGTTTAAATCAACTGTGTGGATCTGAAATCTCTCAGCTCTGTCATTTAGGGTCTGTTGTTAATCTCTTTTTGCTTCAGTTTCCCCACCTGTGAAATGGGGATGTGTAACCCTCACAAAGTTATGATGAGGGTAAAGAAAGTCAACAGTTGCAAAGCACTTAGAATGATACCTGGAATAAAGTTGGCTTCCCAAAATCTTATTACCGGGGCTATTATTGTTGCTCTATTTGTATTAGCACTCGTACATTTGAAAAATAAGTTATTGTAAATTATCATGATTAAGAATTAATCTGGCCAGCAGGTGGCATGGAGGTTAAGGGGGCTGGATCCCACAAGGCCAACTTTGCAGTCTGAAAATCACACCAGGCACGTGTACATGCATGCCCAAAAGCCAGAGAGGCAAATGGAAGAGAAGGGATAGTGGGGTAACCATCTCCCCCAAGGAGTGATTTCTCACTTTTCCTCTCTCTTTCTTATCCAGCCAATGCACACGCCCTATAGCAAGCAAATTAAAAAAACAACAAACCAATTCTCTACAGGGAACATTATGAACTAGTATTAGTACTGAACTCACAACCTCTGTTTATTTTCAGTTGGACAATTTAAATACCTTAGAGGTTCTTTCCCAAACACTCCACATTATACTTTTTTAGTTTACAAAAGTATTTCATAAGCAGTGTCTCCATGAGCTATTAATAGGTTGGGCAATATTGTTAGATAAATAAAACTCGTCTTCCCATAGGCATTGCAAGGGCTACTGGAGGCCACTAATTCGAACCCAAAGTTTTTGGTTTTGGTTTTGGTTTTGAGAGGTTTTCGCTATAGGACGCGTGCACTCGCCAGACAGAGACAGAAAGCGAGAAATCACCCCCCAGGAGGGATGGCCACACCGCAGTCCCTTCTCCTCCATTCTCCTATCAGGATCCTGGGCACGCACGCACACGCGCCCGGCGTGAGTTTTAAGCCACCGGGTCGGGGACGCGAACCACGGTCGACTATGTGGGAGTTCAGCGACATAGCCATTACGCTAACTGCTGGTCCCCGAACCCAAAGTTTTTAAGGAACTCCTCGGAAGGATGCTGAGCAGAGAGAACCGTCTTCTCGGCCGAGAGGGTAAAGTTAGGAGAGGAAAAGGCCTGGGCCGTGTGACTACAGGAAGCAGCCTTGAGGCACCAGGCGTCGGCCGTCGAGGCTAATCCAGGAGGCAGGCGTGTTCGGCCCCGGTGAATGAATTTGGGGTGAGGAGGCTCCCGACTACCAACCACCCTCGGTGGAATCTGGCAGCGTCGTTCCTGCTTCGACCCACTGGGCCATTACCTCCTTCTCAGGATGCGGGACATCAGGGACCCGAAGACCGGGTCGGGCTGAGAAAGGGGGTGGGGGCCGTTGGTACTTGACTCACCTGAAGAGTCGGTCCCGGCCCTGAGTCTGGTTAGTGAAGCGGGTGAAGGCGTCCATGACGTCCAGTCCCACGCCACGCGTCGTACCGGGCTCGGCCATGGGTCCTTTGGGGCGTCGCCAGGTCCCTGAGGAGAACTTGTACCTTACAACTCAAAAAGCCGTCTCTCCACCCGGCTTAGGGCGGGCGCGCCTACCAGAGAGCGACTTCGCGGGCTTCCGGTCCGGAGCCGGAAGTGGTGGTTACTGAGGCAACGCCAAGCCGCTGCGCCAGGTGAGACGGACTTGGGCTCCTTCCTGGGATGCCCCAGCCCTCCTAGTGTCCCGGCTCACTCTGTACCTGGAGAAGTTTCCTACGGGAGGCTCTGAGGGAGCCCAGCCTCAGACGTTCCGGACGCGCCGCGCCTCCCCGAGATCCCCGACTCCCCAGGTGATCCCGAATGGTCTCCATCCTGGGAACTGCTCTGAGCCTGTGCTTGGGGACCGCGGGCCTAGTCATATGGGAGTGCGCGCCATGCCTGTGTCCCTTGATGGTGTGGTGAAGCAAATAGTTAGGGCTGTGATCAGCCATTCATGGAGTGTATGCCCCACTTGAGAGGCCAGTAAAGTGGAAATTTTCTATCAGGTTAATTGAACATTGAGAAAAGATTGGGGGCCAGCAGGGCCGGGAGGTTAAGTCGGCTGGATCCCACAGGGGGCGACCTGAAAAACACCCAAAGCGGCAGAGAATAGGGGAGAAGGGAGTGCAGGGTGGCCATCTCCCTCCATCTCACCCAAGAGGGGTGATTTCTTACTCTCCCTCTCTGGCAGGTGCATGCACCCTATAACAAAAACTTAAGAGAAAGAAAAGATTGTGACCTGAGCAAATCCTAAAAGCGCCAACATGAACAAAGCAGAGGGTAAAATAGATTAAAAAGAAATTGCACGGGGTCCAGCAGATGGCATAATGGTTACCTCTCTGGACTCTCATATGGCCCACAATGGTTTGAGTCCCAGACCCGGCGGCTTGAAACTCATGCGTGGAGCATGTGCAAGCAGGCCCAAAATCCCGAGAGGAGAGTGGAGATGGGATTGCGGTGGGGCCATCCACACTGGGGGGTGATTTCTTGCTTTCTGTCTCTGTCTCTCCAGCGAACGCATGTGCCCTATAGCAAAAATCTCTCTTAAAAAATAAATTGTATCACTGTACATTTGTTCTGTGGGGCTATAAGACATGGTGCCAACTCATGCCGTGGCAGTAATTTTATAAACTATACCCCTGATAACTGCAAGGTCAGTTTACCTATTTTTGTAATCTTTTTTTCTCTTGGTTAGACCTGCCCCTCACATTTTATAGGTCCTGGGTAAGAGCACACATGGACAGTCATAGAACAGACATTTAAATATTGAAAGTTATAAATCAAGCAACAAATTGTTAAATTATGTTCTGTTCTCCTACATTAACAAACATACCTTCATAATGATCTAGACTGTCAGGTTCGCGTTCAAAATTATTGGGTTGTATGGGAAGTCATGACATATTTTTGCAAAGAAAAACAGAATAATACATCATGACTTTCTGGACAACCTAATAGAGTCCTTGGGGTACTTGGAAACAGCTGGAATGTGATAAATGTGGAGGAGAGCAGGACCCAAGTTTTTCCCACTTCCAGTTCTGGCTCCTACCTAGATCTCTGAGATGAACTTTGCAAACAGTGCATGAATTTACTAAGCCACACCAAAGTTCTGCCATAACCTTGCAAACAGCCATGTCTTGGCCACTTTATACGTTTAGAAGTGGGTCTGTTCCCAGGAGAAAATTGAGAAAGGCTCACGAGGGTTTGGGCATTGCTTGAGCAGTAAATTCCAAGGGTATAGAGACTCTGAACACAGCCTAGATTCTAGAAGAGGGAAACTAGGTTTTGGGTGAGCATATCCCCTGGGCCCCATGGATTACTAATCCTATGCAGAGGAAAGTGCCTGGAAAAAAAAGCCAGAGGGACTACTCTAGGGTGGTGCAATACTGCAAGCAATAAGAACCTGTTGAATGCTGGTTACATACCAAGCACTGTGCCAAGTGCTAGGCCTAGGGTTATAGGTAAATAAGAAACAGTAGATTGGTAAGTACACCACAGTGATCTGTTTGATGACGGAGATCAACACAGGATATTTCCTTTTTTTTTTTTTAGAATTATTTATCATTATTGTTATTATTAAATTTGCTACAGGGCACATGCACTCACGAGAGAGACAGAGAAAGTAAGCCACCAGGGGCCAGCAGGTAGTGTGGTTAGGAGTGCTAGATTCCCATATGGCCCTCCATCGTTTAAGTCCTGGACCTGAGGGCTGGCTTTCTTGATTCCCTGCCTCCCCCTCACTCTCACTCTGTCCCTCTCTGGTCAACTCTAAATAAATAAATAAATAGAGTTAAATAAAAATAATTCTTTAAAAAAAAAAAAAAGAAAAAGAAAGAAAACTACCAGGATTCAAACCACGGTCAGCTACATGGGAGTCCAGCGCCTCAACCACTATTCCACATGCTGGTCCAAAAATAGGACACTTCTAAACATAGATTTATTTATATAATCTGTTTTCTTTTTTTTTTTAAGAATTATTTTAACTTTATTTTCTTTAATTTGATCAGAGAGTTACAGAGTAAGAGAATGAGAGAGTAAAAGTGAGAGAGAGAAAGTGAGAAAGCAAGCCACCCTGAAATCCCTTCTCCTCCATTCTCCTCTCAGGATTTTGGGCACACACATACACATAGCCAGCATGATTTCCAAACTATGGGATCTAGGATTCAAACTATGCAGTGGGCCATGTGGGATCCAGCATCTTAACCTCCATGCTTCCTGCTAGCCTAATGGTTTGTAACATTTATAATGCTGAGAAGTACTCCATAATGTGGATATATCATAGTTTATTATGCATTCACTCACTGAAGTACATTTGTGTGGTCTACAGGTTGGGGTAGTTATAAATAAAGCTGCTAGGGCCACTCAGTGAATTAATGGTTCAGGCAGCTGGATCCCACATGGCTGTGTTGTTTGAGTCCTGGATCTGGCAGCTTGAAAAATAAACCAGGCATGTGTGTGCCCAAAATCCTGAAATGAGGGCGATATGGAGAAAGGATTGCAGCATGGCCACCTCCCGGGTGTGTGGGGGGGTGCTTTCTCACTTTCTCTGTTTCTTTCTGGTAAGCCCTATAGCAAATTAAATCAATCAATAAAGCTGCTCTAATCAGGGAAAAAAATGTTGAACAGACCTGAGAATACATGTAAATAAGGCAAGTACATTATGGAACTTTATCACAATACCTAGAGTAAAATATATATAAAGGCATTGCCAATTGTATGCATACATCTAAAAAATATTAGAGTGAAAAATCGAAGGAGCACAACATAATGTAATGCTCTTGAAGACTGACTATGGTAATATCCTTTATGCGATTATCAAGCACAGCATACACTCTTTGAAAAACTATTGTACCCCATAAAGATGTACAGTTAAACATAAATAAGAAATTTGAAGTAAACCAAGCAACTATAAATATTTAATTTTATTTATTATTGTTATTGTTTGCTATAGTGTGCATGCATTTGCCAGAGAAAGGCACACACACACACACACACACACACATAGAAAGAGAGAGAGACAGAGAGAGAGAGAGAAAAAGAAAGCAGGCCACCAGGTCCAGGACTTGAACTATGGTCAGCCATGTAGGAGTTCAATACCCTAAGCACCACACCACCTGCCGGCCTGCTATAAACATTTAAGTACAGATTTTCTATGGTACATGAATTTTTATTTGTCTTGTGTAAATACCTAGTTGATTACTAAATCATATGGTACATTTAACTTATCTGTGTTTTAATTTTTTTAAAGGAATTATTTTATTTAACTTTGTTTATTTATTTAAATGTAACTAGAGAGGGACAGAATGAGTGGGGGAGGGGAAGTGAGAAAGCAAACCACCAAGCCCGGGACTCGAACTGCGGCTGACCATGTGGGAGTCCAGTGCCCTTAACCACCATA